ATCATGGTATTGGGTGGAGCATCTAAATGAGAGCAAGCCTTGTGCCTGAGAATGCTGTTTGATGGTAGACCCAGCCTGGTCACATTTCTCAGACTCATCCTTGCTCTCCGTCACTGTCTGGCAGCTTAAAATGACAGGGGCAGTTGTGGTGCCAGGGGTGCTAACCACAGGGCTAGCAGGCACTCCAATATTTGTTCAATACATGAATGAATAAATTAATTAAGCAATGTATCAATCCTCTAATGAAAATAAATTTTGAGATTTTTTTAAAATCAGAAAGGGAGAGAAATGAAGAGTTGTTTAATGGGTACAGATTCCACTTTAGCAAGATATAAAAGTTTTGGAGATTGGTTGTTCAACAATATAAATGTACTTGACACTACTAAACCGTACACTTAGCAATGGTTAAGATGATTAAGTTTGAGTTTTATGTTATATATGTTGATTCCCAGAGTAAAAAAAAAATTTAAATCAAACCAAATTTTAAAAGATCAAAAGTAAGACAAACAGAAAATGTTAGCATACATCTATGATAGCTCTGTGAGTCTCACTATAGCTGCTCTTCAGTTTTTGTCAGTGTGGCCTTGATTTGTTTAGTCATATCTTCGTATATTATTTATTATTTACTCTGTTGCTCCTTTTGGGGGGAAGCAACTGGCAATCCAACTGTTTGATTTGCCTTTGTGAATAGGCTAAAAGTTTTAACAAACAATTTCTCAAGTTAGAGCCAGTCTTATTCTTCAGTGCATAATTTTATAATCACCTATAACCTCCACACTGGTAAATAACCACTGTTAAGTTGTTGGTGTATGGTATAAATGCAATTACATTTTACATCATGTTTTATATCTTATTTTTCTACTTGATGTATCATGAGCATTTTCTCAAATCAATACATATTTTGGGTTTCCTGTATAATTTAGAATAATACCCAAAGTCTTCATGTTGGCTTACAAGCCCCAAAGGGATCTAGCCCAAGCCTCCCTGTCTAATTTCTTCCACATCCCACCATATTCCTTGAGCTCCAGCCACATGGGCCTTCTTGCTGGTCCCTGGGCATCACCTCAGGGCCTTTGCACTTACTGCATTCTCCTTCTGGAACCCATTTCTTCAGACTTTCACAAAGTTCCCTCCTTCCTTTCATTCATGTCTCACCTTCTAGCAGGTGAGCACCTTGTACAAAGTCATACCCACCATCTGTACCCTCGCTCTGCTTTTTTGCTTATCACAGCACTTACCACTACCTAAGGCTACGTTGTGTAGTGAGTCATTGCTGAGGCCTGTTTTTCCCAGAAGACTATAAGTTCCCCAAGGACAGGGACTTTGTCTTGTTCCCCGTTTTATTCCCTGGCATTAAGTTCTAAATCTGTATTTATTTAGTGAATGAATGAATTTTGCTCTAATCTGTATTTTATGATTGCACAGAACTCTGTTGCAGAGATGTTGCTTAATATGCCTATTTAATATAATATATTTAATATGCTTAGCTAATCCTCTGTTCTGGGATGCTACCAACTGCACTGCAATGAAATACTTAAATATGTTCTCTTAAATACAGTACTTTTTAACTATTTCTTCCAAGTTAAATGAAGTGTAGCAGCTTCCAGATCATGTCCCCTTTCTCTTTTCCCCATACCACACAGTGTGTGTCACAGACAGATTTTATTACAGTAGATGACCACCTCCCTACACTGACCTCCTCCTTAAGTTGACCTAATTTTCATAGACCAGACATGTACCACATGTACGTATCAGTACAGTAGGCCTAGGTCCTTATGTTGACCACCCTGTATGTTGATGAGTTTGTTGCAGCCCCTGGGGTGGTCAACATACAGAGGTTTTACTGCACTTCATGCTCCCTGCCTTGCTCTGACTGCAGGGAAGCTCAAGTCCAAATCCAGAATGCTGATGTATCCATATTCTACCTCACCATTGGGATTTGCTAACACTGTTTAGAAATACACTTTCTCTAATGGGTGCACGTTGTCCCTCCTATCAGTTCCTCTCATCACATTTTGCTTTAAGCCGTTACCTGTCACAGAATCCATTCCTCTTTCTTTACTTGCCTAAAATCCACCCATCTTCAAAGTCCTTCAACCCATCCTCCTCCTGATTCCATCCTGCCCTCCTCGAATCTAGTCTGTGTGACCTTTCTCTGGCACTCACTGCATCTGTCACACAAGATTGCTCCTCACTGCATTCTGGTGGTTCCCAGAATGCTTTAGTTACCGTCACATTAACTGCAATTTCCTAAGGTGTAAAAACTATTTTTCTGTTTCAAAGTCCAATACTATCCTAGCCACAAAATAATAATCATTTTTAAATTTAACTGTTTTCCAAAGTCATAACCTTTTTGGAAAATGACAGTTTTTAAGGGAAGAAATACCAATATTCATGAAAAGATGTTTGGATCATCCCTGTTTCCTTTGCATATTATCTGCACACTATCTTGCCATAAAGAATTTTAAGTTTTAATTCTTATTTTCAGTCCTTGATCAACCACCATACAAGAGCCGCTCTGACAATTTTGTTGTTGTTCTAGGCTTTGGCTTGTCTTAAGATAACATTATTAAGTACATTTAAAAGAGCATTTCCTTCAGAAATTATTATAATTTCTCTATCTGAGTTGCACAGATTTGAGGGGGGAGGTTTATATTACATATAGGAAAATCATGATGTGTACATTTCTTTCTTTCCAAACATATTCCTACATGAGAAATGAAGTTAAAATGAACAAAGAGGGCTGTCATGAAGGAAAAAACAATGCAAATCGGTGCAGCATGTGGCCTGAGGGATGTGTGTGGAGAGGTGGGGAGGAAGCTTTCTTTCCTTTAGGATGCTGCTGGGAACTCAGGGCTGAGCGCTCAGGCAAGAGCTTGAGCAAGTAATTCTGCAAGAAACAGTCTGCAAGCAACACTGAAGCAGGGTCCACAAGTCACATGCTTTGGCTTTTATTTTTAATGTTTACCATATTATTCTATTATTTTTTTAAGTTCAATATACAAATATCCATTTTATACCATTAACAATTAGAGAATTAAGGTTAATAATTATTTTGTGAAAGAATTATTTCACAAAATATGAAATACATAGAAATAATTCTTCAGAAATATATGCTATATATATTTGCTATATATATTTCTTCAAAAATATGTGCTATATATATATTCGCAAAATATATGCTATATATTTCTGATAAAGAAATTATATATATAGAAATAATTATAATATATACATATAATTTCTCTCTCTCTCTCTATATATATATACATATATATATATATATATATATATAGTATAAAACTGCAGATGCTGGCCTGGATGTGGAGAGAGGGCAACACTTTCACACTGCTGGTGGGACTGCAAACTAATACAACCTTTTTGGAAGGACATATAGAGAAACCTCAAAGAACTCAAACTAGACCTCCCATTTGATTCTGCAATCCCATTACTGGGCATCTACCCACATGAAAAAAAAATCCTTTACCATAGGATACCTGCACTAGACTGTTTAGTGCAGCTCAATTTACAATCGCCAAAATGTGGAAACAGCCTAAATGCCCACCAACCCAGGAATGGATTAACAAGCCATGGAATACTATTCAGCCTTTAAAAAAGATAGAGACTTTATATCTTTTGTATTTACCTAGATGGAAATGGAGCACATTATTCTTAGTAAAGCATCCCAAGAATGGAGAAACAAGAATCCTATGTACTCAATTCTAATATGAGGACAATTAATGACCTAGTACATGGTGGGGGCTGGGGTAGGGTAGAATAGAGAGAGGGAAGGAGAGAGGGGGTTGGGGGCTGGGTAATGATGTGTGAAATACCTTTGGGGGGTAGGACACAATTATAAGAGGGACTTTACCTAACAAAGGCAATCAATGTAACCTGGTTCAAAAAACTAAAAAAAAAGAAACGAAGAAAAAAAAGGTTACTCACCCTATAAAATACTATATCACAGGACCCCTTCCCTTTTAAGAAATTTACCAGGGACTCCGAGAGAACTGCAAGAAACAAAACTTACTAACTTACTAACCAACTAATGTCACTGAGAAAATAATGAAAAAAGATTCCAGAATGGGTGAATGATAGATATCCTGTCAGTTTATCACCCTTAGTCCATCCTTACTGTCCAGGGAACCAGGTGTAGATTAAAGATTGGAGCCTGAGCCCCCTGAATTATGGTGGAAAGGCCCCTACTTGGTGATCCTGTCCACACCAACAGCAGTGAAGGTGAATGGCATCTCTGCCTGGATACATCACTCACGTGTGGAACCAGCCAGTGATGGGGAGGGGATGGTCCAATGACACCCAGAGCATCCCACCATTTTACCCTGAAAAAACAGACTACAGCCCTGGCCCAGTCACATACCTGGAGCTGACAGGTCTATGGATGGCAGAAGCCTGAGAATGAGCAGCAGTGGCGTGGGACTGATTCCTGATTCTGTGCTTTGGACTTTTTCACCTTCCTTCTTTAGTCTTAGGTGTAAGACACGATGAAGGTTGTGAAAAATGTATCCAAAAGGTAACCCAAACTAGACAAACTGTCAAAATTGTGTTATTGGTTTACTCTTCTTATGAACATACAGGAAAGCCTGAGGGTACTTGCATATAATAACACCCAATATCAGATATGTGTGCCCCCCAGTCGGCCAGCTGTTTGCTACAATCCTTCTGAACCCCCAGAGCAAACTGAATTTGCTACGTGGTACACTGACACCCCTAGAAAGACAATAACTTGAATCATAACAGAAGGAATACCCAAACAAATAAAAAATCATTAATAACAATTTTGCAATATATACAGACGCGTCTTTTTATATTTTCAATAATAAGTTTTTCATGCAGAAACACTTTGGCTTTTTGATCTCAGTAATTTACATGATCATACTGAAATCTCATGTCTTCCCGACCCCCACGTGCTTTCTGGTTTCCTGATCTCAGAATCTCCCAAAGCTCACCCAGGACAGCCTGGGGGAAAAAGGCCCACTCACCATCTTCCTCGTAGAGAAGACCCATGTGCGAATGCGCCTCAGCTTCTCTCTTCCCACCGTCAATTTTGATGAATTGAGCGATCTTAAAGCATCGTTCATAGAAGTGGTTCCTTACCCACTTGTCTTCAGAATTATCAAAGCAACAGGCCAAAGAGTACAAGTTTTTATAGACCTCTTCAAAGGATCCTTCCAAGAAAGAAAAACATCATAAACTGCAGCGGAAAGATGTCTCATGGTACTTCCTTTTGAATGGCAAACCGGGGTCATGATATTTGTTACTTTTTCTAAAAAATGTGATTATTTTAAAAATCAAATCTAAATGCAAATTTTATCTATTTCGACTATTAACATGATGACATTAATTAAAGAACGTGAAGATGAATAAAGCCACAAAAGTCTGTCAGAAACTTAGGTCATGTGAGAAACTGACACACTATTTTGGGGGAAACAGGAAACTTTATATAAGATACGGGCAGGATAATTCCTATCAGCACCATGCTCAGCTATCTTGGAGGAAAGGAGTATGGGAGTATGTGGTATGATAGAGTACTTTTCTCATTGGAGGTTTGAGAAGTATTCAGAGATTCCAGAAAAAGTAATGTTTCTTAACCATGGCAAAAGAGAATGTAAATGAAGAAAGGAGACAGGATATGAAAATACCAAAGCAGTTTCACATGGAAGGGGGAAAAGTCCTGGGGTCAATAGAAGAAATGATGATTAGGATAACTCTACAAACTCCACAATTTCTCTAGCAATGTTTCTAGCTATGTAAGTTTTTAGCAATGTTAAAAAAGAGTACATGTCTATGTTTTTATTTTCCATGAGTATTTTTTCTGCTGAAAATGCATAAATACTAAATACTAGTCATCCTTTCACTCAGATTACATATTATATGTTTATTAGGTACTCATATATTTCTATATATGAAATGGATTAATAAATGTCAGTCAGTCTTTTACACTCTACTGTAATAGTAAACTTGAACAAAAATGTGTGCCAATTAACTGCCTCAGTCCTGTTAAAATTCGTTTTTCTAACAGTGAATATGAACAAATCCATACTCTTTATGTCTTTTTTTGCAGTTATGCTAAAAGAACAGCGGTAAATATGTGGTGGCCTCTGGGTTACCCTCCCAAGAATTGTTTAATAACTATCATTATCAGAATTCACTGATAATATAATAATTGCTTGATACTGCCAGAGGAATCAATCCATATATTCATGAAAAGATTATCATTATCAAATATATTTCTCACTAGTGTATCTATAAGGTTAAAATAAAAAGGCTCAGAAAAATGAAACAGGTTGATTACAATGTGGCTTTCAAGAACTGTAAATAAGTCGCACCAACATTTCAAAAGAAATTTCTAAAACCGATACCTTTACATATATTTCTTCTTAATTCCATAAGAAATTATGATTTATCTCAAAATAAATTTTATATGTAGAAAACTAAGTAAAAACCAATAAAAGGTCACCCCATACTTGAAGGAACTGGGAATTCTGGTGAGGGGTTCTGCTTTTTAAGGGCACTACAGTAGGTGATAGCTTAGATGAAAAGGAGAAAGTGACCTGAGTTATTTACTTAAAACAAGTACTTTCACCTCAGAAACCACTTCTGTGTTTTATCATTCCATTATGAACCTCCTCCCTCATATGAATAAAGCACTAACATATGTTTTGTAATACTTCATATCCTCGATCATATTTATGGATTAGAGACTTATCGCTTTTAGAAGCCAATAAGTAAAACAATTCTTATCCTCAATTTTAATAAAAGCATATGTAGTATTTTTTAAAAATATACAGTCCTGAAATAATTTTTCTATATTCAGTAATTAACCCTCAATACAAAAAAATTCCTAATATTTCATTTAGGGTTATTTTTTTGGGAATGGGTGACATAAGCTATCAATATTCCATATTTAAACATTACTTGTCAGCTAAGCTTTTTCTAACAAAAAAACAAAAAAAGGAGACTGTTTCGGAATATTAAGTATCAAGAAATATACTCAAGTTTTGAATCTTTGGACAATATGGCATGTACTGTTTACATTTTAAGCAGTCTTTTCTCCTTGCTTGTGGACCACTTCCTTGAATTGTCAGTAGGACTGGAAGATGAAAATCAATTTATTGTGAATTTGTTATTTAGACCAGCATTCATTATGCTTCTTAAAAGGAAGATTTCATGATGGAATAAATGTGAGAAATGTTTTTGCTAATATTTCTCTTTCAGTGAACTGGGAAATATATACTAGCATGTTAAAAGCTCTGATAAGTCCTGAAATTTCCACATTAAGTCACCTGCTTTATTTTCTCAAACCTATTTCCCCAGAAATTTATTTTTGTTTTGCTTTGCATAAAATCTATAAATACCTGTGGAACTTTTCTTGAGTAAAATATATTTATTGTATCTTACACAAATGTTATTAGAGAAAAAGTGTTGCTCAACCTTTGACAATAATTTAAAAGTCAGGTGTAAATAATGTTTGAATTATCTATTGATTCAGTTACCCATTACCATCATTGCCATCTCTTCTACAGCCCCATGGGCTTAAGGCTCTAATCATAATGTTACAGATGGCACAGCAATGATTTACAATAATGGGTAATATAAGAAATGTATCAGGAATAAACTTTAATAATGAAAAATAATTAAATAATGAAATGTATCAGGAAACACTTTAATAAATGAAAAATAATCCAAAAAGAAGTGACTGGCTTACTTTAAACACACTTTTGTTATAAAAGTGATGTTTTATAAAGTAATTTAAATAACTCTAGGTTACTGCTCTGTAAGTCTCTAGAGACAGAGCCGACCTGAGATGACTATTGTTAGCGCCATAGCTTTGATTAAATGAACTTCATTGTGACCCTAGAGTGATGGTCTTTCCAATGAGAAGCAATGAGAATGCTCAGATATATGCTGCTTCAGGATAATTGTATCCAATACCATGATCATACGGGATGAAACCTTGAGACACTCTAAGGAGATTTCTGTATTTTAGACACATATATTCTTACATTTTTAAGATTTAGGATTAATTCAAGGTCTTAAGAGTAAATGTACATATCCCATTTTCTAGGACATTCCTAACTCAAATCACAAATTTTCCCCAATAAGTTCACATTACACATGAAAAACAGTATATAAATTTTTGAAAAAAGACCATATAAAAGTTTATGTCCTTCAACTGAAGAATTTCCAATAATATTTTTTGCAATAATTTTAATTCTCTCCATTTCAACCAGGCAAAAGCCATGAGCATTTTGTAGGAGATAACCCTACCAAAGAGTTATTCTGAGCTACAGGTGAGTTTGTTCCATTTAACAAATGTGATTTTATTTATCATGAATATACGATAAATTACTTGGTGAAGAAAAATAACTTCTTTTAGGACTCTTAACACACTTGTAAGACACTGGGATTTGGACTTTGTTAATTTTTGGAATTGGAGAAACATTTTTACTTATACATATAGTAATTTTTCATTAATAAAGATTGTAAATTAAATGATTTATAATGTTTTCTATCTTCAACAGTTTAGGTTCCATATAGTTAAAAATTCTTTATGACAAATTGCCTCACATTTATGACACTTTATGACAAGTGATATATTTGGCTCATATACATATACTATCTCAAATGAAAGGTTCTATTTAAAATAGTGCATATAATAGTCCACTTAAAAAATGACTAATGTGGCTCAGCCCCTGTAGCTCAGTGAATGGGGCACCAGCCACATAAACTGAGGCTGGTAGGGTTCGAGCCTGGCCTGGGCCTGCTAAACAACAATAACAACTGCAACCAAAAAATAGGTATTGTGGTGGGTTCCTGAAGTCCCAGCTACTTGGGAGGCTGAGGCAAGAGAATCGCTTGAGCCCAAGAGTTTGAGGTTGCTGTGAGCTGTGATGTCATTGCACTCTACAGAGGATGACATAGTGAGATTCTGTCTCAAAAAAAAAATAACTAATGAATAAATTTTACCTTGATTATTTCTATTTTCAGTGTAAATATCACTTGAGAATTTGTGGCTGATACAACATTGTAGGTTTTGTATAATGCCATTTTTTATTTCTAATAGTTAATTTCTTGAGAAATTATTTGTAAAATCGTATTTTAAAGTTTACCAAAACTCTTTATTTTTGAAAGTTAATCTTGCATAGTGTGACACTGAATCTCAAAAAAGTTGCAATTAAATATTTAAATAAAATATTTAAATTAAATATTTTTCAGAACATGAAGAACCACCTTCCATCTCATCCCTTATCCCTTGCCACACACATACACACCCTAGTTCACTTATTTTGTTGTTCAAAATTTTATATATCTCATATTCTTATGTCAGGTCACAACCTAATGGAAACTATGCATTGATCCCACTATAGAGACCCTTTCATCTGTTTTCATTAATTTTTTATTAATTTTCTCCTGGTGGCGTTATTATAACAAGAAGTTGTCATTACTCTATTTTCTCATACAAAAGCCTGAAATAAAATATAGACATTGTCATAGTGGTATCTGAACTTTTCTGTTTAAATCTTGCAGTATTTTCACCCAAAACGTTGGAGAAAAAATATTTTAGTATACCAAATTTTAATATTTTCATTTTTTTCTTTGATTCTACATGACTAATCCCCAATATGTACCTAAGAAACACTTGTGACAATAATATCAATCTAATTTTTACAGGGATTAAAATATTTTCTTTAATACTTGATGTGTATATTAAACTTTCTGGAAAATTTTAGAATACGAAGAAAGGAATTTATTTGAAATGATATCATGGAAAATATAAAATTAACAACTTTACGCACAATTGTAACTGGTAGGCTTTTCATGTCTTTTTACTCTTCACTAAGATGAACTTTCTGATTCAGAGTAGTAGGACTTCTTGATAATACTTTCAAAGTCCACTACATAAATGCAAGAAAATCAGTGTAATTTTCAAGATGTATCACTCTTTAAAAGTATCTCCTTGGTGAAAGTCAATTTTCAGATTTTATATATAAAGAAAAACTATGGAAATGTTTAAACAATGTTATGAAAGATTTTAACTCCCTGAAAAGTTCTGGAAGTGTTATTAGGTGCTAAGTGAGGATTAGAAGAAATAATTAGAACTTAGAACGGTCTAGGATGCCCCTTATCTGGGCAACCTTGCATTTCAGTGTTTCTTATCATTCATTCCCTGAATGACTTAGTTGACAAGGTTGAATTGGGCTAAGTTATCTTAATACTCCAAATTCATACACAAAAACATCTGGAATCTTCCCTCAGGCGCTGGCCGTCCAGAGCCCCTGTGCACTGCTCACAGTCCCAACACTCACCTTCCCTCTCAGCGGCCTCGGCCCTGGTCAGGTAGTGGTAGAAGTAATCCAGTTTATCAGGCTGCTCCTCCAGGGGCTTCTGCAACCAGCTGAGGGACCTGATTCTTGCAGCCTCCCGCAGCTGATCCCACTGTTCCATCAGAGCGAAGAGCTCAGTGAAGGACTTGTGATAACCGTCTCGCAGCATGTCCACACAGATGTTCTTCTTGTACGAGTTCCTGTAACTGGGAATAAGAATCGGAACACTCAAAGCTTTATTTTAATCCTTGCAGTCTTCACAGTATATTCATTCTCTCGTAATTAAAGATTGAATCGTGTTGCCTTTTTTCCCTCAGTGAAAGCGCTGAAAACTATCAAGAGATCTTTGCCTCAAACACTTATAATTGAACAACTTCAGTTTAATGAAAGATGCCCAGAGCTATCTAAATACAATAATTTTAATGAAATTGCATTATAAACATATCAGCTCCAGATGTGAGCTTCCTTTGATAAGGACAAATAAGCTAGTTGACAGACAATACTCAAAAACACTGATACCAGCCTCTCACTAAAAAAACTACAAAAACCCAGACAAAAAAAAAAAAAACCCCAACAAGCCAAGCAAAAACCAAATATGCCACTTAATATGAAAAAATGTACTCTCTGTATTAGGTAGTTTTACTGCATGTTATGGAAGTTCATCATTTGTTAATTCAAGCAGAAAATGTTGATCATAGTCTATTACTAAATATGTTTTAAAAATGAGCTTCGGTTAGAATTAAGTTAATGGTTTGTTAGATTAATAATTCTCTTCTAACTTCAATCAAATGCAAGAAGATTGCATTTGATTAAAGTGGCAAATGAATATTCACTCAACAAACAGCTGTTGAGCTTCTTAGTAAACGTCAGGCACTTAGACCAAATAGGTTCAATGCTTTTGTGACGTTTGTATTCTGAGAAGAGAAAACCACCAACAAATGAACAATTGATAAATAATTACAAATGATGAAAACTTCTATACATATAATAGACAGGATTATGGGATAAAAGCTGTGTGGTAGCCATCACTATGCAAAAGGAAAATTAGATGCCAAAAGATAGAGCTTTATATCATGTTATATTCCATTTTTTAAAAAGGAGACAATTACATACTGAAAACAACTGACATGATGTGACACAACTGGCAATAAAAATTTAGTGTGGGGTAGAAACAGCCAAGAACTAGTCAGAACACCTGAGCTTCAGCCCAGATTTACCTAATCTCCCTGGAACTAATTTCTTCTCATCTGTAAAATACATGCATTAATATATGACATACCTACATCATGAGGTTCTTCTAAGAACCAAATGAAATTATGTGTGTAAAAACTCCAGGAAATGTAAGACTCTGCACTTCTGGTTTTCAACTCCTAGCTATGCATTAGATTTACATAACAAGTTTAAAAAACAAGCAAAAGATAAAAGTGATGAGCAAGAGAGTGGTGAGGGATGAAATTTAAAAAAAAAAAAAAAAAGGCAGGGCTCAGATCATGAAGACACCTCACGGAAAAGCAGTGTTGAGAAGTTTGGACTCCAAGCTAGCAGGGAGATAGAGCCACTGGAGAGTTAGAGTTGGGGAATTGACACAGTGAAACTGCATTTCAGAAAAACCTTCTGGAAGGAGTGTCTCAGCTGAACTGTAACCTTCCCCCATCCTGCAGCCAGACTGTCACAGGACTAGCTCATAACAAAAATAAAGAAATCACTTTCCTAGGTCAAAAAATTAAAAGCCACTATTTGGTATAAGAGGAGGAATTATTTGAAACAGGGAAGAGAAAAGGAATAGCAGTTTTCACTCGTCCTTGCCCTGCAGCTGAGACAGAGGAGTGGAGTGTGGAGAACAAGCCAGCTAGAAGCCGTGTAGGGTCATATCCTCAGTCCCCTCCTCTCTCTGGCCAAATGCCAGAGGGAGGGCACGGAGTAGAACAAGAACCACCGCCCTGTGCAATCCAGTGGGATCCAAGAGTAGGAACATTTGTGTCCTGCTTCCATCTGGAATTCCTGAAAGCAGAAGGATGACCACCATCTCCCTCCTCACCTCCCCTGCACAAGGGCATGGAAAGGGCCAAAAGTCACTGAGTAGGATTTCTAGGCAGAAAGGATCAGAATCAGCCCTAATAATTCCCCAGAGCCCTTGAATACCACAATATTCCAGTGGGTTCAACATGGGACCTGAAAGTTGCTGGAAAGAGAGGACTGATAGACACCTGTCACAATGTCACCTGGCTATGGCCAGGGGAATGTGTGCTAAAGGCTGTCATGGGCTGCCTGCTGAGGGGCGAAGGGAGATGCAGCTCCAACTGAGATGAGCAGCACTGAGAAGCCCCAGAGGAGGGTAGGTCTGCACATCCCCAGAGCTGGCAGAATAAAGATGGATCAAGTGCATCAGAGATTCACTAGGAGAAAATGTGCCTCACAGTGCCATCAAAGACTGAGGTTTCTATATCCTGAGGGCCTTGGCTTAGTGGCCTGGTGAGTGCAAGGCCCACATCTCTGGGACTGTCTTGACCTTTTCCTCCTGCTGGTGGCTACAAGGCTGCCAGAGCTCTAGCTATCATGTCCACATTCAAGGAAAGAATAAAGGGCAAAGCAGAATGGCATTGGCTGTGTCTTGCTCTCTTTGGGGGAAAAAACAAAAATATTCCTGCAACTACTAGTGGGTTTCTGCTTTCCCACTGGCCAGAACTGTGTTTCATGCCCTACCCTCCTTTCTGCAAGGAATCTGTAAAAACAAACAGCCTTCCTCCCCTTGGGCACATTACTGCCCCCCCAAAAACTGGAGTTATGTTAGCAAAGAAGAAGGGAGTAATGGACACTGGATAGGCCAATGCAATGACAATTTACAAGGTCCCAGTTCAAGATCCCAAAGTAAATGCTACTATCTGACCACACCAGGGTTGTCAGATAAAATGTAAGATGCCCAGTTAAATTTGAATGTCAGATAAACAGCTAAGAACCTTTTAGTATTACCATGTCACAAATATTACATACCTTATATTATTAATTTTTAAGTTTCTTATTTTTGAACCTCAGATTGAACTGTATGTCCTATATTTTTATTTGTTAAATCTAGTAACTCCACTCCCCTGCAGCCCCCCACTGGTGTGATGCTGTCTCTATATAGGACAATAGGGTAAGGGGAAGAGGCTTTAAAAACTTGAATAACCTGAAAACTTGCCGAATTGGACTGACTTTACCTGAGAGTGACAAGATTAGATTTTTACACTAGGGAGGATCAAGTCTCAGGGCCGGGAATTAAAATGAAGTTATTAAAAAATAAAGACTTTCAATTTAGTATTCTTGAGTCTGTGACTCTGAAATTCACACCTGATCCGAGAGGAGGGAT